GGGAGACGACCAACAAGGAACTATTAGAGCCTTTGGTAGATGTGTCGGAAGCCCCACCAGCTCCAGAGGCTAATACCAAGGTTGATGAGGAAAAAGCCGAAGCGGCCATTAAGGAGGAGAAGGAGAAGGAGAAGGAGGATAAAACCCAAGACTCCAACGCCGTTCAAGCCTAGTTAGCATACATGAATTGGCTGGGCCTTTTGGTTTTATTGTTATATTAATTCCCAGATGGATGGGGTGTGTGTGACTCATTTGTTGAGCTAGCTAGGCTCATGTAATAAACAATATGCATGCAAGAATTCAATTGAAAATCGGATTGGAGTTCCCAACATCTAAACATTAATTCTCCAATTCAATCCAATTCTCAACTCCTATATATATATACAACTAATTATATACCTCGATGAAATTTATAAATAAAAAATCTATAAGCACAATTCACATTCTCAATCCCCTTTTAGATGAATTGACAACACACTCAAAGTACTTGCATTCACACCATCCTAAAAATTAGAGCACGGGAAAGTCATATTCTCAATTCCCATGGTGTTACATAAAGAGCATCGACAAGTGTTCATGTTTTATACTTGTTTGTATAAGTTTAATTTCTGCGTTTTATATAATTAAAAATGCATAGTGAATTGAACTTCTTTCTGGGTTAGGGCCTCGTGGATTCAACGTGGTTAAAATCTTGGTGTCTATTTTATTCATGCATTTTTATCTATGTTTCGTTGCACTTCATGATTAGTTATAACTCATAATCAAGTGGTTGGTCTTCCTTAATTACTCTAATAGAAATAAAGCAAACTTGGTGATATGCATAATAATTCACGTGGTAAGTTAATCTGATAGTTTTCATATAATAATTCATGACACAAACAGACTGCATACATGTACTGTAGTGAGGGTTCACAGAATTTATTTGAAACTAAAATTTATTAATTTATCAATATCAAAGCCCGAGTTTTTTCATAATAGTTAACTACAAATTCTCTCACTAGGTTTTCTCTTCAGAGTTTTTTTTTTTTTTTCTACCTCACTAAAAAGATTTAAATTAATATTGATCTAGTCCTCTTCTTGATCTATTGAAGCTGATCGAATATGTAGGCGATGAGCCATCCATGATCTGTGCGCTCCAGTAGAAGACATTGTTGAAGCCTCAGTCCTTATTAGGTTGAACACAACTCCTACATTGTTGAATTGGTAACTATGAATGAAATTAATTGCTTGCCCAAAACGCTGGCCACATCGAAACCGTTATTAATATCTTTCGGTTTGATAACAACCAATACCTTTGGAAGGTCAAACCGTTTCACAAATCCACAGCCACCAACACCCCTCCCTTGTATACAAACTCTGTCAGTATACCAAAAAAAAAAAAAAATCAAGAAAAAGAAAGAATAATTTCACTCTTACTTGATTATCATCATATAAACAATCTCAATACCTTCTTCCTGGATTTTCATCCGTCTATAATGTTCGTACCTTCAATCTTTGGCCACAGTAACAATTAGAGATGAATTTTGCCTTGCCGTAATGAACCCTTGAACAACAATAGGTCTCTTCGTTGTCGAGATCAAAATTGTTGTTCAAGGCGCTACCTTGAACAAGGTAATGCGAATGAAGCTTGGATGAGGAATGGAAGAAAATGGAAAACTATAGATTATTCGGCTATATAAGAGAGGAAATAGTGCTAGCAATGTGAATTCTATCACTACTCCCGAATTAAATAGACTTTTTGACGACTGACCAAATTAGGTACGATTTTCAAAGTTGAGAATTTAAATTGTCAAAAAAATAGTCGAGAACTAAATCAGTAATTTTGCTATAATCAATGAACCATTTCGATAATTAACTCAATACTTAATGGGTTAACACTTGTGTGAGACCATCTCACGGGTCTCAATCTGTGAGACGTGTCGGGTCAACATAATAATTTGGGTCATAGTTAGAATTATGAGTTGGTCTTTCTTTGGGCTATTTTTTTCAACAATAAGATATGGGCTTTTTTTTTTTGCCCATTCTTAATATTTCAGGGTCAATTTTTATTGATTCATTTTTATCAATTTTCACCACTTTTTTTTGCCATCCACGTTCTTCACGATGAAAATTGGTATTGTCCGAGCAGAGTACTAGATTTAAGTTATAAAGTATTAGATTTAAGTTATAAAGTATTAGATTTAAGTTCATGGTTAAAGTGTGTTATTTATTTGTGCTATGAAGTATTAGATTTAATGGCTAAAGTGTTAATTATATATTTGTGCTATGAACTAATATATATATGTGCTATTAAGTATTGTGTTTGATGATTAAAGTGTTAATTATTCAATTGTGATATGAAATAGTATATTTGCACTATAAAGTATTGTGTTTTATGATTAAAGTCTTGATTATTCACTTGTGATATAAAGTAATATATTTGCACTATAAGTATTAGATTTAATGGTTAAAGTGTTGATTATTCATTTGTGCTATGAAGTAATAGATTTAAGCTATAAAGTATTAGATTAATGGTTAAAGTGTTGATTATTCATTTGTGTTCTGAAGTATTTGATTTAGGCTATAAAGTATTAGATTTAATGATTAAAGTATTGATTATATATTTAATGTTGTAGATTTGTATTGGATTTTTTTATTATTATTATGAAAGATAAAAGCAACAAGAGGAAATCGGGCAAAAATGTAATTCAAATGTATTTTTTATGAGAAGTGTTATATTTATAACTGTTACATTATGATTGTTTAGTATTATTTTCCATTTTAATGCTATAAGCATTAATTAGATTTTGACTCATAAGTAACATTGTTATTGCAACCTAGACCACTTCATCCCACATTGACGATCAAAAGGTTTATGTGATTTGGTCTCATCTTTTTCAGATTTGCAAAAAGCTAATGTTGAATCAATTGGATTAAGGGGGGCTATTAAGAATAAAAGTTACAAGAGTAGGTTGTTCCATAATTTTGAAATGGATGGTAGAAATTTTTAATGGTTCTAGCCGTATGCTAACCATTAACTCTACTAATAGTTTCGTCATTACACCAGCTGATGTTGCAAATGTTTTTCAGTTGCCCAGGTACGAGTCAACCCATGTGTTGACATTAAAACACATTGAAACAGTGGAGATTATGGCTGAACGAAAAGAGCAGTATGGACTTGAGAACACATCTATTTTAAAGCTTGAAGAATTGCTTAAGGGTAGGTTATCTTGCAGTGGTGATGACTTCAAAAGGACATTTGTTTTGTATCGTTTATCAACTTTCCTTACTCCTACGCTAATAGGAAAGTAGATTTTACTACTGTGAAGTCTTTAATTAATGTTGGAGAGATTGGTTACTTTGATTGGAGCCAATATGTTTTAGATAAACTATGCACAATAGTGTCAAAATACAATTAAATCTACCACACAAAAGAATATTAGTGGATGTGTTCTACTACTGCAAATTCTGTATTTCCATAGATTGAAACGGCAGGGGATAGCTCAACCATGCACTGTTCCTTGATTCAACGTTGGACTTATGAAAAGTTAATGCAAAGGATGCTTGAGAAAATATCTGATGGAGCTTTTAGGCAAGGGGAGTTGGATCAATTTGCGTATCCTATTACTACTACTACTACTACTACTAATATGATACGTAGAATGATCCAACTCTCCCTGCCTAAAAGCTCCAGCAGATACTTCCTCAAACATTATTTGTTTTAACATTTCATAAGTCTAATGTTAAATAAAAAAAAAACAGTGTATGGTCAAGCTATCCCCAGTCATTTCAATGTATGGAAATAGAGAATTTGCAAAAGTAAAACGCATCACCAACATTTTTTTGTGTGGTAGACTTGTTGTATTTTGACATTATTGTGCATAGTCCATCTAAAACATATTGGCTCAATCAAAGCGGCCAATTGCCTACAACATTAACTAAAGACTTCACAACATTAAAATCTACTTTCCTATTAGCAAGAGTAAGAAAAATAGATAAACAATACAAAACAAATATCCTCATAAAGTCATGAGCAGCACATGATAATTTACCCTTAAGCAAGTCTTCAAACTTTAATATTGATGTGTTGTTGTCAACTCCATATTGCTCCTTCCATTCAACCATAATCCCCATAGTTTAATTATTTTGTTTTAATGTCAACACAAGGATAGACTTATACCTCGGCAACTGAAACACGTCTACAACATCCCGTGTAATGACAAAACAATTGATAGAGTTAATAGTTAGCATATGACTAGAACCATTAAAATTCTCTACCAACCACTTCAAAATTATCGAACAACCCACTCGTGTAACTTTCATTCTTAAGAGCCCCTGAAATCTAATTGATTCAAAATTGGCTCTTTGCAAATTTGTAAATGATGAGACCAAATCACATAGGCCTTTTGGTTGGCAATGTGGAATAAAGTCGTGCAATAACAATGTTACTTAATAATCAAAATCTAATGCTTATAGCATAAAAATGAAACACTCAGGGCTACAATTACAATGTTACTTATGAGTCGAAACTAATGCATATAGCATAAAAATGAAGGATAACACTAAACAATCATAATATAATAGTTCTAAATAAAAAAATATAACACTTTTCACAAAAAATACCTACAAATTACATTTTTGCCCCGTTTCCTCTTGTTGCTTTTATCTTCCATAATTAAAAAAAAAAAAAAATCTAATCTAATACCCAGTCTGCAACATTAAATATATAATCAACAGTTTAACCATTAAGTCTAATACTTTATAGCCTAAATCAAGTACTTCAGAACACAAATGAATAATCAGCACTTTAATCATCAAACACAATACTTTATAGCACAAATATACTACTTAGAACAAATAAATAATTAACACTAATCATCAAACAAATTCTTTAATAGCACAAATATATAATCAACACTTGAAACATTAAATCTAATACTTTATAGCCTAAATGTAGTACTTCATAGCACAATTGATAATCAACATATACACCTTACAAATGAACCTATTGCAATAATCAGTGTAGTAAATAAAAATAAGCAGTTTTGATCAACTCTTTTCCTGTTTCCTTTTTTCTCTCTTCTTGGAAGAGTAGTAGCATGCGGCAATTATCAGTGACTAAAGAATGAAAGTGGACATTTTTGTTCTGGCAATAAATCAACCAAGAAAACCAACACTCAAAATGAATGGGCCATTGCAAACACAAAGAAAATGAAAATAATTTCTTATATAACTTCCCAACACATTTTAAAAAGAATGATATACCTCAAAAATCACTTGTTTAAACTCAATGCTCCAAAACTTTGATCTTCTCGAGGCAATTCTGCATGTGCTGCTTGACATCATCATTAAGCTGGATTCCAGCCAGTAACTTGCAATTCTCAAACTTTGACTCTTCACACTTCAAAGCAGCATCTTTGCATGCCTTGATACATCCTACCACAAGAAAAGAGTAGGAAACTAAATGCCCAATAGGCAAATAACATATCATAGAGAATTCATTAGCATGGCAATGCAACAAAGCCCTTTTTTAAAACAAAAATACTCCTAACTAACAGAATTATAACAAAATAGTGCCAACCGGATGAAATTTTAGATTCAGATGATATTCGGCATGCATCTTAAATAAAACAGTGCACCAGAGTTGTGTAGCTTACCACTCAGTTTAAGTAAGTTGAATACCACAGGGCAGTTCCCTATACTTGTAATCATGGTAATTGCAGCCCAAACTTTTTGGTACTGTTGCCTGGATGCTCTAATGATGCACACTTTTGTAATAGGATTTACATACTTCACTGCACCAAAGAAAACAAACATTGAAAAAAAATGAAATAAGATAGCTACCCTTAGTTAAAGAGTATTTGAATTATACCCTTAATTTTAAGCAACACACCAATAAACAGGGAGCAATGCTCTCAAATTCTATGGTCACAACATAAGTGAAAATCAAGGACACCAATCCCAATCCCATACCTTGAAATGAATTGAGTGATGAGGCTAGACCACACTCTCCAAAGTTTGCTAGAATGCTATCCTTGATAGATTTTGACAAATTGAATTGGGTGATTATAATGGGGTCATTTCCAGTAAGATCTTTATTTGGATCCAAAAACACTTCCAACACCATGTATCTGTTCTTGAACCCCACCATGATTGCTGACCTTGTGGGCTAAAAAATGCATTGGGATAAGATAAGCAGAGTGGAACAACAATAGAGAAAAGGTAATACAAGTTGTCACTAGTCACTGCACTCTCATTAGCATTTAGCAAACAAAGAGTAAATGAAAAATGTTAGTGCAGAATTTAAAAAATAAAAATAAAAAAAAATTCATAGATTCCTATCGGCTTATGGAGTCAGCTTGCTGGGTTATTATTATTTATTAACAACCTGCTAGGCTGGAAAATAATAAGTTGTATGTTGAAGAAAAAAAAAAAAAAAGAAAGAAAAAAATTACTAAAAAAGTATATGCTAAATTAAAACAAGCAAACTCATTCAATTGAAGGAGAAAAAAAATTCAAAGTTCCAACATTAAACAAGTTCAAAGTGTACCAACAAACTAACAAGCAAAGTTCCAGGAAATCAATTAAAGCACGGCCTTCTTTGATCTTCAAGAACCTAAGTTGCATCACCAACCATGCCATTTGCACAAAAAAAATCCCCTAAAAGCTTTTATAAATTGATTAGATACAAGAGTAAGTCCTTAAAAAAAGGCAGGGCATATACCAGAGCTCCCCAAAAACTATTCATTTTTTTTTCTATTTCGTTGTGAAAACCATTAGTAAGAAACTACGAATTGATCCATAAAAGAACTCGGGATGCGACGATGCGTCTTGACTCCTGTGTGAGGCCGGGGACGTGACTTGCTGAGGCGTGAAGCACTAGGGGTGAGCAAAACCGATTGGAATTTTGACCATCAGTTTCGGATGGTTCCGAAAGATTAACAATTTATTCCACAATTAATAATTAAAAATTCTATTGTGCAATACTTGAGACTCCAGGATTAATTTTCTCAACCACAGTGATACAAACACAGTAACTCCTTTGGTTACTTCTCAAAAATTTACATGAAATATTAATGAACAATTACAGAAAATTTAAAATTTTCATGCCTAATAACACACTGTCCAGACTCCAGAATTAATCTTCATTCTTCAAACACTAGCAACAGAGTCCAGTGAGCACAATAAGATTTTGTATGAAATATGTAAAAAAATTAATGTATGAAATCCAGAGAGTCGGAGCAAAATAGCAGCATATAATGTATGTAATCCCTTTTAAATTTTAATATGTAAAAAATAAAAATTTACCTTGAGCCTTGGATTTACAGTGACTTAGTGGAGCAGAGCCGCAGAGGATGGACTGGCTGAGGAGCGAGGCTGAGGTGAGGTCCGCAGAGCCGCTGAGTGCCGTACGGTCGCCGCTGAGACGACTGAGTCGATGAAGTGAGGACTGAGGAGCGAGGGCGGAGAGCGTGACCACCTGACCGGAGTGTCGCTGGGCGGTGAGAGACGAGGGAGAAGCGGAGAACTGGAGAACCGTCAACAGAGGCAGAAGCAGAAGCCGTGAGCCCGATAACGTAATAAGGGATTAGGGATTAGGGCTATGCTATTTTGTGTTTTGTATTTTGTATTAGGCTATAGGATTGGATCAAAACATAAAGAGTTAATTATCAAAATATTCTCTTGACTATAGCGAAATTATCAATTTGGTCATTAATTTTTTTTAATCAATTAAGTCCCTTAACTTTAAAAATTTTAACCAATTTAATCCTCCGTTTGTTTGACCGTTAACTTGGGATTAAATTGGTAATTTCGCTATAGTCAAAGGACCATTCTGGTAATTAACTTTAAGGATGGGCAATTCGGTTTAGTTTTATCGAATCGAACCAAACCGAACTAGTTTGGTTCGGTAATATACCGAACAACTGAACGGTATTAGATTCTTGTATACCGAACGGTTCGATAAAAAATTGATCCGAACCAATTCGAATTGTTCGATAAAAAATTGAACTGAACCGAATACCGTTTGATTTTTTAAAAAATATATATATAATAATAATAATAAATAAATAAATAAAAAGTAAATCCAAGTCCCTTTCTGCTTGCTCTGCTGTTCAGCTTATATTCTCACGGGTATCTCTCGTAAATGTTTTATTTGATTTCTTTATGGTTTGTTATCAAAAGTTCTATATTATGTATTATGGTGTTTACATAGTCCATATCCAAAGTCTAATAAAAAAAAAAAAATAGCAATCCAAAGTTCAAACGGTATTCGGTTTGGTTCGATTTTTACCGAACAATTCAGTTCGGTTCGAGTTTTTACCGAACCGTTCGGTTGTTCGGTATATTACCGAATCTAACTAGTTTGGTACGGTTCGGTTCGAGAAAACTTAACCGAATTGCCCACCCTTAGGGGTCGTTTGGTTCACGAATGTTAGATTATTGGGAATGTTAGATTCTTGTGTTTGGTTAAAATTGGGGTATGTAATATAATCATATTTGGTTTAGGGTTATCTTTTATACACACTATAATATCCTTAACATATTTTCATATATTTTAATAAATTTAAAAATTAAAAGAAATAAATAAGATAACGGTATCATATATAATTACATGATTTTAAAATATTAACTAAAATCTTAAACTTGAGAAACAAAATTATTTTATATGCTAACATAACATAATAAAAATAAAAAATATATATAATTACAAAAATAATTATATATATATATATATATATATATATATATATATATATATGTTATCTTACATTACCTAAGATTTTGAAGGGAATCACATTCCCTTCAAAATCCTATGTGGAGGGAATGTGACATTCCTTGGGAATGTTAGATTCCCTAAAATAATATGAACCAAACACCGGAATGTGAACTTTGGAATGTCACATTCCCTCGGTTATGTTATATAACCTGAACAATTCGAATTGGTTCAGATCAATTTTTTATCGAACCGTTCGGTATACAAGAATCCAATACCGTTCAGTTGTTCGGTATATCACCGAACCAAACTAGTTCGGTTCGATTCGATAAAACTAAACCGAATTGTCCACCCCTAAAGTTAATTACCAAAATGGTCCCTTGACTATAGCAAATTACCAATTTGGTCCCAAGTTAACGGTTGACTAACGATCAAACAAACGGAGGACCAAATTAGTTAAGATTTTTAAAATTGAGGGACTTAATTGGTCAAAAAAATAGTCAAGGACTAAATTGATAATTTTGCTATAGTTAGGGGACCATTTCGGTAATTAACTCAAACATAAATTATTTCTTTGGGACTTTTGGCAGAATGAATGCAACTGCAAACAAAAGCAAGAGAAATTGATGTTTGCAGCACAAATTTGGAGCTGCAAACGGCAAATTATGGCAAATTATTGTGTGGACCATGTTACGTGGACCACAACAAAAAGAACATTTTTAATGTATTAAATGTACATTATTTTTTTACTGAATGTACATTATATAATATAATGTACACTCAAAACAAAAATAATGTACATTCCCTGAATATAATGTACATTATTTTTATACTGAATGTACATTATTTTTGTGTTGAATGTACATTATTTTACAGCAGACAAAATATGGTCTACACAACTTGTGTGGACCATGGTCCACACAATAATGATTGGCAAATTATGCTATGGACCCGGGTCCACTTGGACCCAGGTCCAAAACGCGCGTTTGGAGCTAATGATATTTTTTTGTTAATATAAAGTTCAAAAATTATGAATATAGAGTTCAAAATTTGTGAATATAAAGTTCAAAAATTGTATTATACTGTTGAATATAGAGTTCTGTAATTGTGAATATAGAGTTATAAAATTGTGAATAGAGAGTTCTGTAATTGTGAATATAGAGTTCAAATATTATGAATATAGAGGAACGAATTCTGAAGACAAACGACAAAAATTATGAATATAGAGGAACAAATTCTGAAGACAAACAGCAAGAAAGGAAGCAATTTTTTTTTTTTAATTCAGACGGCGTCGTTTTGAAGTAAAACGACGCCGTTTTGGATCCGTGTCTACCTTGCAAGGTGGACATGAGTCAATGGCATAACAATTGGCTACAAGCTGCAGCTCTTTTGTTACTGTTCACAACAAATTTGTAACCTTATGAAATTATAGTTACTAAATCAACAGTCTGACTAATTGGATTGTGGTTGCCCCTTATTGGAACTATTTTGTTATTAATAAAATTTTTGTATTAAATATTGCTATAAATTTTCATATAAAATAGTTTTGTTTGTAGGTGGCTACTAGCTAGGTGTTTATTAATACTTTATAAATAATCAATGTTGCTTAGGCGACCCATTTTTTTTTAATTAAATTAAAAATTTTAAAAATTCACTAATAAGGTTCCTCTAATTTTTTCTTACAAACTATTTATGCAAGTGGTTGTAAAATTGTTCAAAATATTGTTCAAACCATCTAAATACATAAAAAATTAAAATTAAGAGCAAAAGAAGATTTTTTTGAGAAATTAGAAGGGTAAACCGCCTACGGCTATTTGTATCGAATAGATCTCAAAAAAATACGCGATTTCAAAAAAAAATTGTCCAAAACGGATAACCGAGTCAAAAGTTATGCTTTGCCAAAGTTTCTACACTTTGCAACTAGTAGAAACTTCAACAAGTCAACACTAATATTGTAAAATGGGGTATTTTGGTCATTTGGCGAATAACCCTAAAAAAAACGGGCTTTTTAAAAATAAACCGACGTGTGCTAATGTTTGCCACTGGCTTTTATTGATTGTCATTGCATAAGAAAGCATCAAAGGGAATTGTTTCCTCTGACATTTGAATGGTAGTCTTGGATCTGAAGGTGTTAGTGACATTCGAGGAACTAAAACTTTTGTTCCTACATGAACTCCGCACAAAATTTTCGCTTCTATAACCCAATCAGCCAATTTGGTAATGATCAACCGAGTACCATTACAAAGACCTAATGAATGGTCAATGTTTCTTAACAACATCACTGGAGAGCTTACCTTTAGCATAAGATCATGGTTTGGAATACTCGAGCATTTGATTCCATTCAAGAATTCATGTGTGTAAGTTTGACAACATATCCACATTTGAATCGAATTTGCACACTGAATCACAACTCAAATATGTTCTACCTTCGGATTCATTCATTCCATTCATATACTCATTAATGCTGTCAACCACATCCAATGTTGGAGCTAAAATAACACGGTTTTCAAGAACATATTGATCATAGTTTGCACTACGGTAATTAGGGAACGTAGATTCAACTATTGTAGCAATTGGATCATCCCCACAGTGTAATACATTCTGTTGCGGTATAGATATATCGCAATCCATATCATTTGCTATCCCTACAACACCGTCACCAATCTCAGCTATCCACTTGGCGAAATCTTCTACTTCGCGATAGTCCACATCATCTTGGATGTTATGCAACCGAAGATTTTTTGTTAACCTCAATAGTTTACAATTTTTCCATAAGTACAACTTTTATTTAACAAATATTCTAAATATATAATTTAAAATATATAATTCTTACATTACCTTGAGTTGCGCCAGTGATTAGTGTATGCATTGAATGTGTATTTGGATTGGATGAGTACAATGTTCGCTTTGATTTACTATTACTGCTTGATTCAATCTCGTCTAGCTCAATGTTCTCATCTTTAATACAATAATAATCATTTGCAAATAAGAATATACAAAAAAAATCTGTCAGTTTATAAGTTTTTTTAAATAAGTCGTAGATATATCACTCACAAAAATTCTTCCACAAATACAATATCAATCATTACATTTAACAGTAAACAATATATATATATATATATATATATATATATATATATATATTTATATTTATATATATACTACAAAATATTTATTATGTTAGATAAATATATATACGCTGGCGTTTTGTCATCTCCCATCTCCATCGCATCTCCGACTTCTCTAAACCATCTCAGCGATGAAATCCTTTCTTAAGCTTCTGCACAGTGATAGCATTTGTACTTCCTACACAATTGACTTCTCCGACACATTTATGGGTCAGAGATGTCCGATTTGAAGCTATATCGCGCACAGATCTGTAATCCATTTCCCGAATTTTGAAGACCGATCGTTGTTCATTTCTTTTTTTAGTTTCGAAATTGCGTGATCCTAGTTGTTTGAACCTAGCTTCACTGTTTGGCAGATTGTTTCTTTATTTTGACTACAATTTCGCAATACACACACCTACAATTCCTAAAGTGTATGTATCTGCAAGTTAGAAGACATGCATGACCGATCTGAGTACAGATTTGGGTGTTTGAAGTGCTATGTTCTCCTCAGAACGCATACGGAGTGAAGTGTGGAAGATCTACGAAAAGATAAGTGTGGTTTAGGGTTTTTTATTTAGTTTTTATATAGTGATTTCTGATACAAATCTAGGATGAATATTGAACCGTTTTTAAATGTGTTGGTTTCTAATTTCTGCAAGCTTTCTAATAGGTTCTTAAGCCAGGATTTGAAAGTTATCTGCAAGTTAAGTGTTGGTCTTGTGCTTGA